CCCCATCCATCCCCCTCCAACCCTGCTAGGATGGCACCCTTGGCCAGGTCACATAGCAAGTGTTTCCTGAATACCTGCCATGTGGCAGGTGCTGCTGGGACCACAGCCATGAATAACAGATAAACTTTGGTGTTTTAGAGCCCACACGTGATCACTGATCCTATCCAAACCACAACCCCGCTGATTGCTTTAAAATCCACCCCAATTTCAAAGGCAAAGGAATGAAAATATCTGGCCAAGGCCTCTGTTACATCCATTACATGTTGAAATGACAATAATGACAATATTTTGGATATACTGAGTTAATTAGAATATATTATTTTAATCTCCTTTTTTTTAAAACATGGTTGATAGAAAATCTAAAATGAGGTCTACACTCTTGTTTGGTTCCTATTAGCCTAGCTGCTCTAGGTGCACCCTCCAATACAGTAGCTGCTGGTGGCTATTTCAACTTTAATTAAGCTTAAATAAAATCACACGTCCTGTTCCTCATCCACAACTCCACATTTCCGCTGCTCAGTGGCCACATCTGGGTGGTAGCTCGCATGTTGTATAATGCAGGCTTAGAACATTCCTGTTCTAGAAAATTCTGTTAGCACTGCTCTGGAGTATAAAATCAAATGACAGCTCCCTCCCCCCCAAAAAGGAAAAAGAAAGCAAAGAATTAACAGTTTGTTTGAAAGAATTAATATGGAGAAAAATCAAGTCAGAATATAAGGACGGCAGGGGCGGTGAGGTTTAGGTGGGGTGGGTGAGGTGAGGTGGCAGGTGAGAAAGACTGAGGAGGTGAAGGAAGACTGAACACTGGGGAGGTGCATGTTAGGTGCTGGGAACAGCACGGGCCTACAACAGGAAGACCAAGTGGGGACCAAGACAGGGTGAGAGAGACCCGTGGCCCCATCCAGGCTGAATTCAGGACCCTTGGCTCAAACAGTGGTAAGGGGAATACTGGGGATGGCTTTCAGGCTTCTTTAGACCCTAGTGGGGACACTGCATTTCCTAGGCATCTGCAGCCCACAGCAAAGTTCAGGCTAATCCTACAGACCTGGGAATGTTGGCCAGTGTATGGGGGATCTGGACACAGAATGGCCCTGGCCTGTGAGAGTCAGGGGTCATGGAAGGTCAGAGGTCACAGAGATGTGGAAGGATTAGAGAAAGAACTTTCAGGAAGGCTCCTGGACCACCTGGGGACAGTGAGATGAGGACGGTGAGGGCCCAGGTGGGGCTGCCACCAGGTGAGTACAGTCTGGGTGCTGCAGCTGACCTGGTCCTGTAGGGGGATGGGCAAGGCAGGTGGGCCAGGGAGGGTGGCCCAGAAAGGCAGGGAAGGTGTGGCCCAGGGGCCTGTCTTGGGGTCCTCAGTGCAGGGTTTTGGACCCAGTGTGACCTGCCCTCTCCCCTCTCCCGCCCCGCTTCCCTCCTCAGGTACCACAACGTGGGCATTCTGGTGCTCTTCCTTCATGACATCAGCGACGTGCAGTTGGAGTTCACCAAGCTCAATGTTTATTTCAAGTCCCGTGGAGGCTCCCACCATCCTCTGCACGCCCTGGCTGCGGACCTGGGCTGCCTCAGCTTCAGCCTCAGCTGGTGAGCAGGAGGGCGGGGGCGG